ATATACACAGAAAAGTTATGACATGTTTTCCTGTTTTTCTATGCAGAAATGTGTCGTGACTTTTCAAATGACCCAATAGATATATTTTTTAAAGAACTATTTTATTTAAATTTATTTATTCATTTATTTATTTCAGTTTGACTAGAGAGGGAGAGAGAGAAAGCAAGTCACTAGGTCCAGGACTAGAACTGTAGTCAGTCACGTAGGAGTCCAACATCCCTAACCACCACGCCACTCACTGGCCCCTATCCAATAGATAAATAATGGAATATATTTACTTACTATTTTGTAATTTTCAAAAGATGCTTCTTTTTAGTGATTGATGAGACTGAAATAAATACAATAGAATAATGACCACCTGCTTTATATAAAGCTTTTCTTACACTAAGATTAAATTCCCAAATCATGTTTTATCTATTTAAAAAATACACTGGCCCCTATCCAATAGATAAATAATGGAATATATTTACTTACTATTTTGTAATTTTCAAAAGATGCTTCTTTTTAGTGATTGATGAGACTGAAATAAATACAATAGAATAATGACCACCTGCTTTATATAAAGCTTTTCTTACCCTAAGCTTAAATTCACAAATCATGTTTTATCTATTTAAAAAATATTTTGCAACAAATAAACTAGAAGAAATGCCAGACTTGTTTTTATTAAATATTCAATGACATTATCCAAAAATAAATGAGAAAATTTTATTTTCCATGACCTGTGAAGAAGGAACAATCCAGAACGACAATATAATTCTGGTACTGTCTTCTGGTTGTAAGAAACAAGTTCAGGTAACACAAATTCCCTGTATGTGTACAAGGAGAATAGGAAGCAGGGTAAATCCTCACTGTAGCTTCACGACTTGTTTTCCCTAAATGGTAACATTTATCCCTGTTCATATGAATATAAAAATGGGCATACAAAGAGGGGTTTATTAGTGACTATATATTCATTAGGCATCCCACTTTTTCAATATGACAGACATAAAGCTAGAAGTTGCTTTAAAGATTTACAATTACAGTTCTTTTTTAAAAGTGTTTTAAAACCTAGAAATATTTTAAAGAGCAACTAGGCTAATTATTTGTGTTCTGAAAATACGCATTATGTGATTAAGTTATGATGAAAGGGAATATTATTCACCCACATTCCTGAATTGAGCTTTAAGAAAAAGAAAAGAAGGTCTTTCTAATCGAACAAAGTCCATCCATGAATTTCTGACGCTTAACCATCTTGAATTGTAGGCTACAGGCAAAGAGACACTATTAGGAAGGTTGAGTGTTTCTTCACCCTCCTGTCCCTCAGCTCTAGCAAGGACAAGCATGTCATCAGTCATGTACATTTGAGTTCTGAGTAGCCCCTTTCAGGAACTAGGACAACTGAAGATTTTCTGCCCTGACTTCATCCTCCTACCAGACACACAGACACCCCATCTAGCCAGGGAGAGCACTCTCTTTTTTCTCTCTGCCTCTCTCAATTTCTTTCTTCCTTTCTCTCTTTTCTTTCTTCATAGGACAAGCCAATCACCAGTCATCTACATTTGCATTCAGAGAGGCCTCTTTCAGGGACTTGAACAGGTGAAGATTTTCTGCCCAGACTTCACCCTCCTGTCCCCATATCTACCCAGGTAGACGACCCTCTTCATTCTTTGTCTCTATTTTACTTTATTCATTTTTAATTTTTAAACTTCTTAGCTCTCTGATGTTCTTTTATCTTGCTGATTCTTACCTTCCACCACCCCTCTCCCCACGTAGGACAAACCAGTCACCTGTAAATCACCACTACATTTGAGTTCTAATGTGCCACATGGTTCTCATTTTTTTTATTAATTTTTTCCTCTTTTTTTCTTTCTCTTTTTATCTGTTTCTCTCTCTCTCTCTCTCTCTCTCTCTCTCTCTCTCTCTCTCTCTTTACTCATTTTTTCTTTTCATTTTTCTTTTACCTTTCTCACTTTTCTGCTCAGCCTCCAAACATTGAGATTCTACACAGGTCTAGTGCACAGTGGCCAAATATCTGAATACTTTTTTTTTTTTTTGGAGAGATTTTCACTGCAGGGCGCGTGCGCTTGCCAGACAGACAGAGAGAGACATAGAGACAGAAAGCGAGAAATCACCCCCCAGGGGGGATGGTCACGCCGCAATTCCTTCTCCTCCATTCTCCTCTCGGGATCTTGGGCACGCACGCACACGGTCCCGGCGTGAGTTTTAAGCCACCGGGTCCGGGACACGAACCGCGGTCGACTACGTGGGAGTCCAGCGACACAGCCATTACGCTAACTGCTGGTTCCCATATCTGAATACTTTTAGGGTCAGAATAACCCTCAATTTCCATGGAATCTGCTGCACAAAGGGAGAGAAATGGTGCTCCTCCTGTATGTCTCTGAACACTCAAATTTAACTCCAAACATTAAGAAAAAAATGTATACTACATCAGAGGACCAGAAACCACTGCAGAGGCACAAGAAATATGAAAAGCCCAGAAAATATCTCTCCCCTAAAGGAAAAGAATAACTCCTCATCTTCCACAGACAATACAAGGGAATGCATGAAAAATCAGATAAAGAATTTAAAATATTCATAGCAACAGAGCTATCAGAGATACAAGAGAAGAAAGACAAAGAACTCCAGAAGATGCAGAAGAAAAGAGATAATGCATTCCAGAAGGTGAGGAAGTTCTTGCACAATCTGAAAGAGGAAATACACACTGTAAAAAAGAATCAGTTAGAATTGTTAGAGATGAAGGCTGTAATTCAGGAAATCAAAAACTCCCTTGAAAGTATTAAAAGCAGATTAGATAATGCAGAAGATCAAATCTCAGATGTAAAAGGTAGAACCTCTGACCTTGAAAAAATTCACCAAAAGTACTGAGAAAATAACCCCCAAAAATGAGAATAATATACGAGTAATACTAGATACCACTAAATATCCAAACATCTGGATAATTGGTATCCCAGAAAGTGAAGAAAATAATAAGGGCATTGATAATCTATTCCATGAAATGCTGGAAGAAAACTTTCCAAACCTAGATAGACATTTAAATATCCAGACCCAAGAAATACAAAGAATCAACATAGAATCAAACCAACATCTTCTCCAAGGCATATCATAGCCTGATTGACCAAAACCACAGACAGAGACAAGATACTAAAATTTTGCAAGAGAGAACTATCAAGTTATTTTCAAAAGATACCCCAGCAGGCTAACATCAGACCTCTCATTGGAAACAATGCAAGGAAAGAAAGGGAAAATATATTCAAAGTGTAAAGTCAAAAACAATTTCAACCAAAAATACTATACCCAGTAAGATTACCCTTCATGTGGGAAGGAAAGACAAGAGCATTCTCAGATCAACAAAACCTGAAAGAGAATTTAACAGTACCAGGTCTTCAAGAAGTTCTGAAAGGAGTGCTATCTCAGGAAAACTAAGGATACACATAAATGAGAGTACAAAAAGTAACTAAAAGAATGACCAACTTAACAGTAGGAACAAATCTGGAAAGGTCAATAATGTTACCTTCAAAAATTTAAACAAAGATCAGACTACAGTAACAATGTAAATTCAATAGAATAGAAATTAATTACATGAGACTGAACTGGTGAGATGAATTTTATGACTTTTGACTAAAATATTACTGATTTTCTTCTATGGTTTATTTTTCAAGTTTAAGGATTTTTGTCTTCTCTTGAACATGTTGATAAGTTCATCTACCTACTCTGAACTGAATTCTAAACTTTTTTCCTGGTTTTCAATCTTATGCAAATTTCTCTTAACTTTTATTTTGATCTATTAAAACTAAAACTAAGGGGCCAGCAGTTAGTCTAATAGCTATGTCACTGGACTCTCATGTAGTTGACTGCAGTTCAAGTCCCGGACACGGTGGCTTAAACTCACTCCGGGCGCATGTGCGTGCATGCCCAAGATCCTGAGAGGAGAATGGCATGGCCATCCCCCCTGGGGGGGGATTTCTCACTTTCTGTCTCTCTGTCTCTCTCTGTCTTTCTGGCGAGTACATGCACCCTATGGCAAAAACCTCTCCAAAAAAAAGAAAGAAAAAAAAACTATTTTTCTTGAAATAAAAAAATGCATTTAAAAATACCTATTTAATGACTGCAGGAAGCTAGGTAGCCCCAGTTAGGTGCTACTTTATAGTATGTTCATTCTACTCTCTGAGGTCTATGCCTAAAGTCAGACATCTGTTCTTAGATATGTATATATCAGCTATGCTTGCTACTGAAAGAATTTAGATTAATTAAGATCTTTAGTGAATTGATAAATGTGAAAAAAAAATAGTCATGGTAAGCAACTGTCCATACCAGAGACAGTGTGAGAGGAGGGTGGGAAATGGCAGAGGATGAGAGGTAGGGAATCAAGGAGGAGGGAGGAGAAAGAAGCAAAATATATAAGAAACAAATAAAAAATTATTTGTTGATAACATGTATGGTAATATCCTTGATTGAGACAATGTACTAGGACTATCCCTACCTGGACTTTATATGTTATCCTTTTTAATAAAGATGAAATTGTGTTATTCTCTATCACATACACACACACAAACACACATGCACACAGTATTGGAATGGCAATTAAGGTTAAATAAGGTCATGAGGGTGGAGATACTATTTTAGTAGGATAGTATGAGTGACCTCATAAGGTGATGAAGAGATAAACCCGTCTCCCTCTTGCTCTTTCTCTCTTTTTATTTACTGTCATATTCAAAAATGAGGTTATGTGAGCACACAGCATACAAGCCAAGAGAAATGGCCTCAGAATAAAATCTGCTTTTCTAGCACCATGATCTTGAACTTGCCAACCTCCAGAACTATGAGAATAAAATTCCATTCTTAAAACAACTCAGTCTACATTACTTTGTTATGACTGACCAAGCAGACTATTATAGAGAACATATTTTATATTATTTCAGTCATTTAAATTTATCGAGCCTTGTTTTATGGCTCAGATTAAAGTCCTTCTTGATGAACATACCACATACGCCTGAAAAGAAAGTGATTCCTTAGTTGTTGGGTGTAGCGTTCTATAGACATCAATTAAAGTCAAAGTGTTTTATACTGTTGTTTATACCATCACACTTCATTGATTTTTATGTCTAGTTTTCCTTTCAATTGCCAAAAGTGATTTTTAAAAATTCCTTCCATTTTCTCCTTAAATTATGTCAAATTGTTTAATGTTTTTTAAAGTTCTGTAAGTCAGATTCACATACCATTATAAGTATTATATCATCTTGATATATTGATCTTCTCATCATTATGAAATGTCCCTCTTTTTCCAATAGTAATGCTCTGTCTTTAAGCCAAATTTATATGATATTAATATAGCTACTTCATGCTTCATATGCTTACTGCTTGCATTATCTTTTTCTATGTATTTCTTTCCATCTATCCCTGTTATTATATAGAAAGTGTGCCTCTTTTTGACAGCATATAATTAGGTCTTACTTAATTCTCCATTATAAGAATTTTTGTGTTTTATTTTTAACTAAAACTTCAGTATATTAATATGTAATC